AACAATGTAAGACCATTTATAATATGGTTTATCGAAAAAGTGAACCTCAACCTGGAACCAAACAAACATTCAAACAACAATGTAAGATCGTTTATAATATGGTTTATCGAAAAGTGAACCTCAACCTGGAACCAAACAAACATTTAAACAACAATGTAAGACCATTTATAATATGGTTTATCGAAAAGTGAACCTCAACCTGGAACCAAACAAACATTCAAACAACAATGTAAGATCCTTTATAATATGGTTTATCGAAAAGTGAACCTCAAAGTCGAACTGTAAAAATTATTGCTTGGAGGGTAAAGGGATCACATGAGAAGTTTCTTAAGTAACGGATTAGAAAAGGTCATTACTGTACGAGTAACCTTTCTTAATATAGGCCTAAGAAAGACGATAACAGCTAATCCTACTGATGTTAGAGACGCAAAGTAAATTGTAAGTTAACTAAATGGTTAGCAACTTACATATTTATTACTCGTGATGTCGTGGATAGTTTGGACATCTTATATTAACATACTTTTAGAAAACTTCCATATTTTTCCTACACTCAAAATCTTTCTTGTATTTATTCGTATCAGAAAATAAAATTCTTTGAATTTTGTGTTGGAAGGAAATTATTTTATGTTTGTATAAAGTGGCTGTTAGAGAACAAATGGCTTGAAAAAGTCTTATTTCTGTTAGTCACAATATACTAAGGAGTGTTGAAATTTTAATCAAACTATGTAGATAAATGAAATTAATAGCTTACAAAATAATATGCAGTGCTGTTTATAAAGTGCTACGCACATCATGACTGTTTACTGCTACAATCAACTCTTTCACAGAATCATCGTTCATTGAAATTGGTGACATATATAAAGTTATGAATACATTTTAAACAGGTATATAAGGACAGCAATTTATGGAAAAATATAATTGTTATTTTCTTTTTCAATTTCGGTTTGGAAATGTTTTACAAAAATATTACTTTCTGGTTGTTTTCATGATATAAATATAAAAATATACAAAAGAACTACTCGGTTTACCAATAATCATATTCCACACCGAACGTTTTAAATGGAAGTATACTTTATTTCTCTCTCTTCAGTGAAATATTTCATTGAACAGGCATTCACTGAATCTTTAATAATTTCGAGTCCCCCAGTGGTTCAATGGTAAGTCTGAGATCCTATTACGGTAAAAATTGGGTTTCAATTGTGTAGCTTTGTGCTTAGTAATAAACAGAACTAAAAGTAATTTTGAAGTGAGCACGGAGAAGTAATAACACAAGCGGAAATATATTTTAAAAAATTGAACGTGTAGAAATGGGTGCACCAAAAAGTGAGGAAACAAAGTAGGAATGGGCATGGTGTAATAAAACTTTTTCAAGTTGAAACTACATGCGTATTTTCTAAAGAGAATTTCGAAGCATTTTTTTTTACTCTAAACAGATGAGGTTATTCTGAACTCAAATTTCTCAGAATGCCATAAATGCCCGTTCATAAAGCAGCGAGCATGGTTAAAAAAAGTGGATAGTTTCCATTGGTCCTGCAAATAAACTATTAGTGTGAACGTCGTGAGATAAAAAGTTGGAAGAAAAGTTGAAAATCTTGTTTTGAGCGAAAAATAACAAAAGTGTCCTCAACGTACCTTTTGTAAAAAGCTGATTTCAACTCTAGAGAACAATACTTTAACTAGATTTATTCATGAGGATAGATAAAATCATTAGCAAGAATTAATGATAACGAAAAACCCATAGCTACGTTATCAGTTCGGTCAGATAAAGCGTTTAAAAGAAAATACTTTTAAAGAGTTTTGTTAGAATCTATCATCCTTAGGGCAGAAATGGAGGCACCACAATTCTCGACCAAATATCATTTAATTTACGATAAACAATATTAGTTTGAAAACTGCTGTTACAAATCTGTAACTTCAAAGTGTAGTTTATTAAACAAAATTAACAGTATTACCGGCTGCTTTTAAAAACCATTTTAATTCAGAGTCACTTTATAAAACATAGTTAACAACCTTATGGATTACTTCGACAGACATTTTTAACTTTTAAGGTAAGTTTATTAAATATGGCTAAGAGAAAGCTAGTTTTGTGTTTTGTAGCTTCCAAGGATAAGTTGATCACACATATTTAACATCATACGCAAGAAACTACTGCTAAAAAAACAGGATAGGATAAGCATTTATTATATGAATATACAAAAATGCTGTATGACTGAATATCATACTATTTTATAGCTAAGTATATTATTTTTATATTAAATCACCACCAGAATAACTTTAAAATGCAGTTGTTGTTTTTTAAGTACATAAATCGTTTTTTTTTCTCTAGTGAATCTTCATGTATCAACATATTTCGTATGCGCGTGGTAATCATTTACTTGATATTTACATTTCCTAATTTATGTAGTAGTGGCCTGGGATTTTGTGGTATTTATAAAATGATACTGATAATTCATCTACATGTAGAATTATTGTTTTTTTTTTTAGAAACAGCAATAGTTATTTTTATATTAGTTTTTAGATATTAATACATTTTTACTTTTCCTCTCCAGTCTCCAGTTCCTTCTATTGATGAATCTCTCCCCGGAATCTTCGTCGGCGACGTGCGGTACGATCTTGAATCCTTACATTCCGACCAATTGCTGAATCGTATAAACGAATGGGATTATCCGATTTTCGAACTCCAACAGGAGGCGGGAAATTGTATTCTTAGTCAGGTATGAGTTTGCCGTGTAAAAGAAGAGTAATGTCCTTTAAAACCTCTGTAACAATACAGCAGCTCGGGAAGTAGACGTTCTTTCGCTCTCTAACGAAATTCACTGTCAATCCAGCTTTAGGCTTTTCATACTTTTAAAAAACACACAGTAAAACGTTTATGTTCTAGTAAAATTGAGCACCTGCTTAATTCCTAAGAATGATGTTTTGTAAACACAAGGCAACTGCTATGGGAGACGTTTTCTCGTAATAAATTATTCAGTTTTATGACTTAAGCCTGTACTGTACCTTTTATCCAAATCGAAATTCGATCTACTTAATGTTTTCAAACGTACGCTCTTATCCTAACAACATACGTGTGTGTTTTTGTTAAACGAACTTTTCAGTTTATACTGTTTATAAGTTTTAAGTCTATACTATATGTCTGCATATCAGATACATAAGTGGTAAATATGGAACTGAAATTATAATTGTGCCATTCGTATTTTTCATGATCTTTATAATAATTTCTTCAAGTTACTTTCCGTGTGGAGCGCTGACCTCATGTTTAACTATATATGCAAATAAAGACATAGTGCATAGAAAAAAAGTAATCATTTATGTGTGGGAAGAGAGAATCTACGGCTAATAAGAGCTAACGGCAGTTGTTGCTTTCGTTCAGATTAACTTAAAACCTAAGAAACAAAAATGTATTAAGCAAAATATTTTGAGATTTTCCAAAAATTTTAAATTAACTTATAATAAAGGCTAACAGATTTCAATGAAATGTTATGCTCTGTTAGCCGTTTTTCCAAAATCAGCAACAACTTTTGGAGTCAACTGTATTGTTGGTGTGAATGTTCTTTGTAGTAACTATGATAAAAACCTATACACTGGATAGGTGAAGTGAAGGAAAGTGTCATTGGCTACTATTAAGTTCTTCACATTATATAGCCGCACAGTAGCAGATATAATAAATAAACTTAGTATTCTGGTACTAATATAACCCAATAACACATGTTGATCAAAGTGTAGATTGAACTGGACCTCCCTTGAACTTAGACTTCGAGATTAAACAATTCTAGGAATACTAAGTTTATTTATTAACTATTGGAATGTTTAAATGTAACATTATTATTATCAAACCGTGTATAATTTTCGTAATAAGAAAACAAAAAACATCTACACTAACACAAAATAATGGTAAAATTAAACGGAACTGTCTTGAGCCCTCTCAGTCTGAGATAACTATCCAGACAAACAAGACGAAATTATAGGGGGTGTTCGATCATGTTGTACCATGTTTAGTTTTCTGTTTCAGGGTTTTCAACTTATAACACTTAATTTTACAAAATGGTTCATTCGGACATCCTATTTCTTTTGCTTGGTGTTATACTTTTCTGAGAGAATGTCTGACATTGAAAGGTCTGTAAAGGTCAAAAGACAAGCGTTAAATCATAAAACTAACCTTTTTTTTGTGGAATATATTTTCTGGGAATTTCTCATTATTTCACACACCCTAACCCTTATTACAGTAGAGCGTTTTGAAATGATTTGCATGAAATTCACACCCTACCCATTATTACAGAATAGTATTTTCAAAATGCCTTCCGTAAATTTCCACATCCTACCCCTTATTACAGTGTAGCATTCCCTAATGAATTGCATGAACTTTCACACTTTAGCTCTTATTGCAGTATAGAATTCTCTAATAACTAGCCTTTATTACAGTATAGCGTTTTCAAATGCTTTCCGTGAATTATCACATCCTACCCCTTATTATATTATAGTGTTTTCTAATGATTTCCATGAATCTTACACCCAAGCCCTTATTAGAATCGAATGACGTCATGAACTCTCACACCCTAGCCCTTTATATCAATGAAATGAAAGATTAACTGTTAGTGAAAATAATATATATAAAATCAAAATACTAGTTGTTCTTTTCTAAACAGTAGTCTTTTCATTTCTTATATATTATTTAATGCAGTTTTTTTTTCAGGCTTATGGTAGACCAGGAAAGCGGGAGTTATTTTATTAGGTCGTCAAAAGATTATTGTCGCATTTTTTTAGATGAAAAAACCCGAACAACTTATATATCCAAACAAAACATTTATTAAATGAAATAGTCTCCATTCTTA